TAGTTATCAGCCCTTTATTAGATGTGTAGCTTGCAAAAATTTTCTCCCATTCTGTGGAGTGTCTGTTTGCTCTCTTGACAGTTTCTTTGGCTATGCAGAAGCTTTTTAATTTCATTAGGTCCCATTTGTTTATTTTTGTTACTGTTGTGATTGCCTTTGGGGCCTTCTTCATAAATTTTTTGTCTAGGCCAATGTCTAGAAGAGTATTTCCAACATTTTCCTCTAGAATTCTAATAGTTGCATACCTAAGGTTCAAGTCTGTTTCCCAGCGTGAGTTGATTTTTGTGAGAGGTGAAAGGTGTGGGTCCTGTTTCAGTCTTCTACATGTGGCTATCCAGTTTTCCCAGCACCATTTATTGAATAAGAATTCTTTTCCTCAGTGTATGTTTTTGTCTGCTTTGTCGAAGATTAGTTGGCGATATGAGGATGGTTTTATATCTGGGTTCTCTGTTCTGTTCCACTGGTCAATGTCCCTGTTCTTATGCCAGTAAAAAGCTGTTTTAATGCCTATAGCCTTGTAGTATAATTTGAAGTCTGGTAAATTGATACCTCCTACTCCAGTGAGAATGGCCTTTATCAAAAAGTCCCCAAACAACAAATGCTGGCATGGATGCGGAGAGAGAGGCACACTCCTACACTGCTGGTGGGACTGCAAACTAGTTCAACTTCTGTGGAAAGCAATATGGAGATACCTCAAAGTGATATAAGTAGATCTACCATTGGATCCAGCAATTCCACTACTGGGCATCTACCCAAAAGATCAAAAGTCACTTTATGAAAAAGATGCCTGCACTTGAATGTTTATAGCAGCACAATTCACAATTGCAAAGCTGTGGAAACAACCGAAGTGGGGAAACAATCCATCAATTCATGAGGGGATTAATAAAATGTGGTATATGTATACCATGGAGTACTACTCAGCTTTAAGAAACAATGGTGATATAGCACCTCTTGTATTTTCCTGGATAGAGCTGGAACCCATTCTACTAAGTGAAGTATCTCAAGAATGGAAAAACCAGCACCACATGTACTCACCAGCAAATTAGTATTAACGGCTCAACACCTAAGTGGACATATAGGAGTAACATTTATCGGGTGTTGGGAGGGGAGGGGAGGGAGGAGGGGATGAGTGTATACAACCACAATGAGTAAGATGTGCAACATTTGGGGGATGGACACGCTTGAAGCTCTTACTTGAGGGGGGAGAGGGGCATGGGCAATATAAGTAACCTTAACACTTGTACCTCCATAATACGCTAAAATAAAAAAAAAACCACTATGAGATACCACTTCAAACCTATTAGAATGGCTATTATTAAAAAATAGATATTAAGTGTTGGTGATGATGTGGAAAAGTTGGAACTCTTGTGCACTGTTGCTGGCAATTTAATATTGTGTAGTCACTGTGGAAAATAATATGGCATTCCCCCCAAAATAAAACATGAAATTACCATATGGTCCAACAATCCCATTTGTGGACACACACCCAAAGAATTGAAAGCAGGGTCTAGAAGACATAGTTGCACACTCGTGTTCAAAGCAGCATTACTCGCAATACCCAAAGGGTAGAGGTAACCCAGGTGTCCATTGACAGGTGAATAAACAAAATGAGGTATTTACATATGGTGGAATATCATTCAGCCTTAAAAAGGAAGGAAATCCTGTCATTTGCAACAATATGTATGGATCTGGAGGACATTATGTAAGATACTGGGCTGTAAGGGCAATGGACACCTTCCAGCTTCTGTTTACTGCTTGTTTGCTAACCGCAAGGCATTCTGAGTACATTATGGGATGCAGAGGAGAAAGACAAAGAACGCGGAAACCCGAGTCTCTCAGCTACGACCCGGAACAGGTTGGAGCCTACCAGGGGCAGGATGAAGTAAGAATCACTGTGGGGGCGGATGCATGATCAGTGTGTAAACAACTGAGTTATAAAAAGGGGACTAACACACAAAGGAGGGTCCCTGCCCGGAGAAGAGGCCACTGCGCTGGCACTCTGGGGGCTCGGACCCTAGCTCGAGCTAGACAATAAAACTCCTTCTGATAATTACATCCTCGGTGACTCTGTCTCTCTGTCCTGTGACCTTGTGAATCTCGAATATAACAATTATGCTAAATGAAAAGGAAAACTACTGTGTTACCCGACTCATATGGGGTTCCTACAGAGTCAAACCCAGTAGAGTGGCGGGTGCCAGGGGCTGGGGGAGGGAGGAATGAGGAGTTATTGTTTACTGGGTATGAAGTTTCAGCTTCGCAAAATGAAAAGGGTTCTGGAGACAGATGGTGGTAATGGTCACACAACAATGAGAACGTACTCAACACTACGGAACTATACACTTAGAAAAAGATTAAGATAGTAAAGTTTATATTAGGTGTATTTTAATTACAATAAAAATAGGAAAAAACCTAGTAGTCTCTATGATCTCAATTTGGGGGGCAGGGGAAAGGGATTCATGTGCAAAGGAAAAGAATAAGAAATTGTAAACTTAAATACAAATTGTCAAGCAAGATGAAAAAGTAAGGCAAAATGTTAAAAATCCTTGAATCCATGTGCTACATATGGTGCATGTTCACTATGCTATTTTTTAACTTTCTGGTAAGTTTAAAATTTGTATAATAACTATTAGAGTAAACCGATAATAGTAAATATTTCTACGTGGAGAGATTATAGGTATTTGAGGGTTTTGTTTGTGTGTGTGTATTGATTTCTGTAGTCTTCAAATTTTTACCTGAATGTTTATTACTATTCTAAACCGAAAGAAAGATCTTCAGAAAAATTGTTTATTTATGTCCTGGCCTTATTTCTTTTTTGCTACAGGTGAGAATCTCATTTTCTCAGTTCCAGCGGAAACTGAAGGCCCCTGACCTAAGGGTGTGACCCCAGCGTGTTCCATTGGGCTGGGAAGGTTAGTTTGTTAGTAATGATAGTAACTAATAATAGTTACTTACAAAATAATAAATTATATCAGTTTCCAAGGTAATTCCTACAATAACATCACTTCCACCCCATACGCATTTGCGTGTGCTCTTTTGAGGCAGAAAGGGATGCTGGGCAGGTAGGTTGTGGGAATCTGCATACAATGGAGGGTCCGCCCCTCCCCGGCAGTGGGCGACACAGGAGTCAGCTGTCCCTGCCCTTAACGTTTGAGAACCTCCAGCGGCAACAGGGTTAAAGTGGTGGAAGCGACAAAGGTCGCCTCTCCACAACAGAGCACCATGGGTTCCTCTTGTTAATTTTTTGCAAAATCCCTTGGCTATGCCCCTGAAATCCACTGCGTGTGGGAGCAGAGATCTGGCTTTCCGTGTGTGCACGTGTCTCTTGGGCTCAGCCTCCTCACAGAGCACCCAGCCATGCAGGGACTGAATCGCCTTTCTCTCCTGCACTCTCCTCCTCCCCAGCCGGCTGGGGACTGTGACCTTAGCATTTTACTGGCTAAGCAGACAAAACGGTGGTTTAATTAGCGCTGTTAAAAAGCCCAGGGCTAACACGAGCCAAGGGATATTTAGTGAAAATTCTGCATGTTCTGGATAATCTTTTCTTGCCAAAAAGCTGTCCCTCTCCCACCCAGGCAACGGACCAGCTGGCTGCTCAGCCCCCGTGTGTACATAGCCAATTATAGCAACGACTCCGGGGCTAGACAGGCCCAGGGCTTCTGAGAAGGGAGGCACAGCCCTGTGCGCTCTGGGGACACACACAGGTGCTTGGCGTACACAGTGCCAGGTAGAAATCCGAAGTGCGCAGTGGAAGGGGCTGCAGAATGAGCTGCAGAAAACAAAGCCTCAATATTGAGAAAACTACCACACGTTTGAATGCTCTGTCCCTTTGCTGGGAGATGTGTCACCTCAGCGTCCCTATTTGGGGCTCAGAAAATCCGGACACAGCAGAGCTAGAGAGGATGCCTCCCCCTTCCCACGAGCCCTATCCCGTAATAGTGCGTTGGGATGGCTGTTTTGAAGTGAGCAACGCTTTTCCCTCTTCCCTTTTCTGCTACTTGTGGGTGTCCACAGACAGTTTACCTCAGATTTGATCCCACCTTGGATTTGTCTGTTCCAGGCACAGGAGATAGAGAATTCCTTGGAGACAGGGAATCTGATGTAAACTTCCCTTCGGTTTTTTTTTTTTGCCCTGGCATCTAAACAGATGTGTGTAACCTAAACGGTTCCTACTGATTGAATTGAAAGGAAGATTTGGCCACATAATTTCTGGAGCCTGGTACAAATTAAAAATGGGAGGCCCCTTGTTCAAAAGCAGTTTTAAAAAGTGCCTTAAAGGCACCAAAATAGAAAGTGTATTCCTCTCCTCTGTGGTCTCTTTTGGACTGACATTGTCAACAGAAAAAAGCCAAACTCCGCAAAATAATTTTTAAAGAGATTTATTCTGAGCCAAATTTGAGGACCATGGCCCGGAGCCACTGCCAAGAGGCCTTGGGCAAGTGGACTCGCTGTGGCTGGGTTACAGTTTGGTTTTTATACATTTCAGGGGTTACAGGTAAAGCCATCAATCAATACGTGGGAGGCATACATTGGTTTGGCCCAAAAAGTGTGGGACATCTTGAAGGGGTCTGAAGAGTCTTCGGATGGTAATTGGCTAAAGACAGGAAGCTTTGTCTAAAGGCTTGGAATGTTTTAACATAAACTTTACCAGAGATAAGCCACCATTTGTAGCATAAATTGAGGACCTGCAGGTTTGTCTTGCATACCCTTAGACATGTTAATGGGTTACAAAGGAAGTCTCCAAGAAGAGAGGGGGGCATAAGGCATGTTTGGCCTCCCTCTTCCTGGCAGACAATTAAATTTTAGGATATTCCTTTGGGCACGAGGGGGTCTAGTCAGTCAGCTGGTGGTGGGGTGAGCCTTAAAATTTTACTTTCACAACATGGCAGTTTTTGTTTGCTCTTTAAGGTTGTTATAAGAGTAAAGAAAAATTAAAATTTTAAATTATTATTAATTTTAAATTATTATAATTTTAAATTATGTAATTTAATTATTATGTTTTTTCTTCTGTTCATCTTTATAATGCGCCGGTGGCAGTTTTAAATGCAAATATAAAGGCATCCGACATGCGTGAGGAGCCACTGAAATGACACTCCCACCTCCAGCGACGTGCTCCGCTCGAGCCGGAACGCGGGAGGCTGCGCTCGGCAGTTCTGAGTCCCTCCCTGGTGCCCACAGTCTGCCCACACCCTCTGCCTTGGCCTCCTGGTGGGTGGGGAGCACCGAAAGGAAAACTAACCGTGTTTGTCCTGCTTTTCCTTTCCTTCTGTGCATCCTTTTCAGCATGCGTAGTTGAAGCAACAACACAAGCAAGGAAGGACATGGCAGGGTTTCCCGGTTGTTCGTGTTTCTTAGAAAGTCACCACCTTCTTTCTGTGTTCCAAGCCAGTCCCACTGCAAGAGGAAAGTCATGTTTCGAGTTCCGGGGCTGCCAGTGCCCCCACTTGCCGAGTCGTGGCTGCAGCATGCTTTTGCCTTGTCCCTGCGTCGAGTCTCCGGGACTCCCATGCATTGCAGGTCCGCTGGAATTCTGAGTCCATGGGGTATCCGGAACACCTCGTGCAAATGGGGTGGCAAGAAATGGGGACATGCGTATGGCTCAGGTGCTGCACAGATTCAGAGATGAAATTATGAAGATTTCGAGACAGCAGCAACAGGACATTAAACCAAGCACAGGGCCTTTCTGGCACGGGGCCCTGTGCGACTGCACAGGCATGCATCTAGGAAGCCAGCTCCGAACCGAGTGTCTGCAACCGGAAGATCAAGGAGCAGCCCGTTCGGTTACTCAGGTGGTGGATGCCCTAAAAGCCGTGACTCCACCACTACCAATGCAATCTATCCATGTAACAAAATTACACTGGTACTCCATAAATTTATACAAATAAGTTTTTTTAAAAGAGAGAAGCCAGTTGTGTTCTGAATACCCATGGGGCAGGTGATGCTTTCCCCCAGAAATTTACCAGCAGTTATTGGGGTGCCCATGTGGAAAGCCCACAGAACTGCCCTACAGAGCAGTCACATCAGCTCAGAGACAGAGGGTTACCGTCCTGGCCCCTCTGTGCTCCCCTCGAGGCTGGTGTTGCCACCTGCCCAAGGCCACCCCAGTCTTCAGGGATTGTGATAAATAGAGCCTGTGACCTGTCTCCAGAGTTGGTGACCTCCAGGTGTGCCTGCTGCAGGAAATACCAGAAGGCACCGCGTGAAAAAGAGGGAGAAATTCAAGAATCTTGAATATTTGCTGACTAAGGCAATAAACAAATAAATGAGTTAAAGAATGAACTGTCTGATGTAATGGAACATTTGTATAAGAATTAGTGATGTCTGTCCGGATGGAGCTGTTTACAGATTTTGAGAAGAGTCTCACAGAAAACAACCCAAGTGAAGGAAACAAAAACTCTAGGAATATCAAAGTTGTAAGAAAAAAAGGAATATCACCTTAATATGATACTGACCTCAATAGGGGACTATGTATGTAGTCAAAAGATTGTGAATATTGATTGTTGATTTTAAAGCATGATGACCTAACTGTTGGGAGTAGATATAAGAGAGTTGAATAGCCAAATACCTGACACGAAGCCAGTAGAACCTGCTTCATGTTGCTGAATCAACAAATAGAAGAAAAATCTGTTGTTGAGAAACATGAAGATATTACTAAAATAAAGTAACAAAGGAATTAAATTGTTTGGAAAGTGGTGATAGAAGTAGTAGAGAAGTAGTGGTGATAGAAGGGTGGAGAAGTAATATAAACTGGTATTTTTAAATCATGTTGTATTGCTTTGATAGGCAAGTGTGGCTCCTAGTTATGGTTGCATGTTTTTATCTTCAAAAGGAAAACTAAACTCACTGGCAACTGAACTCCCTGCGCTCCCTGGCAACAGAGGCATTCCCAGGAGATGCGGGACCAGAACGCCTTCTTCCCATGGTACTTGTCCTGCAATGTTTGGAGCTTGTTTGCAATGAGTTCTCATACATTTGATCTACAACAATAAAATAACCTTTAAAAATATTTTAAAGAGCAGAAAAAAACGAGCCAGGACCATACAAGCAGCTCTGGGTGTGGCTCAGGGGCGTACTGGTGCATTCTACACTCCACCGCAACGGGCGAGTTTGTCCATCCCCGGCACCAGCAAGTGCTTTGCAAAACGAGCCTTCGCTGCTGAGAGTAGCTGTTTGAGAGGTAACTTTCATGAACATTTGACAGACACGAACGAATAAGCTTCATTTCTGGCCAGGTGATACACTAGGTGTGCTGGAAGCACTGAGATGCGTCAGAAGTGGCCCTCAGCATTCAACGGGGCATGTGTCATGAGGAAGCCCCTTTTCCCCTAGCACCCAAACACAGATTCACCTCAGGATGGCGCACACTAGCTAACAGACACCACTTTGCAGCCTTCCTTGAAGCTGGGTAAGGGGAGATTGCTTTAAGAGAGCTGATTTAGCCCAGAGAAAAAATTCCCCCCTCTTTTGCTTCTCCTCTGCCAGTCTGGGACATGGATGTGATGGCTGGTGCCCCAGATGTCATTTTGGACCGTGAGAAAAGCTTGTGCCCAGAAGCTGCAGACACAAGAAGACAGAGGAAAGTGATAGGAGGGTCCCTGATCACACCGTGAACCTACTTTTTGACTGGTAACTGGAACTTCTTTAGCTTGTGAGAAAAATTCACTTCTATCCTGCTAATGCTATTGTTACTTACTCAGTACACGTTTTCAGCTACACACAGCCATGTCTCAGCTGACGGGCATGCAGTTGCTGGCTCTCTCGTTTCCTCTCTGTCCTCTGAGGGGAGAGACGCATAGAGACCAGAAACAAAAAAATGGTTTCCAGTTTTTCTTTGAAAAAAAAATTTGTCCGAGGAAGAGATTTGAATTGGGATGGGCATGAAATTATATTGCACCCCAAATTCCCATCCTACAAAATAAGGGTAGCAATAATGGTAGATTATTCTGGAAAGTGTTTACCCCTGGGGTTCTTCCTTCTGTATCGCTTACCTGTGGCAGGGCCTCCATTTCCATACCTGTCCACGCTGCCTCTCCTGGACCCTTGCCTGCAAGTCTCCTTCTGCCCCCTCCCAGCAGCAGGCGCAGCCCTGTGTTAAGATAAGAGGTGCGTGTGCAGGACACACCAACTCAGAGCGCAGCACAGCCAAAGAAGGTCAGAAACGTGAATCTCGTCCAATGCCAGTCTTGGTGTTCTCCATGACCCAGTGTAAACCATCCCCCAACCAAGTCGAGGTGCACTGCTCAGAGAGCCTGAATCTGCGTGGCTCAGCAGCAGGTAGCCTGTGGAAGGGCCACACAGGTCACATGATGTACGGTCCTGCCCTTCCCGAAGGAAAGTGTGATCTCTGCGGAAATGGCTGTTCAGCACAGTGTGAGTCCACCCAACGCGATGTCCCTGGGCCTCGCAAGCCCTTGGTGGAGATGAAGTACCTCCGCACCGCCTCTGTCTGGTGCCCATTCCTCCGGCCGGGCGAGGGACCCAAAGTCTCTCCACCTGCCCCTGCACCCCATCCCAGGTGGGCTCAGAACACAGCCGGCCCCTGGGCACACCTCGGCTCTGGGCGGGCCCAGGGGAGGGCCGCTCCTCGGAGAGCGAGGCCCAGGTGGTGCACGCTCTCCCCTCCTGTCACACTTGTCTCTATGGAGATCACACCTGGTGTCTAGAACTGGCTGGGTGGTGGAGTCAACCTGCCTATCCATGCTGTCTGGACCCCTGTCTGCAAATCCTGCAAACAGGATGCCTGGCGCACAGCCGACGGCCCGGAAGGAGAGAGGGAGAGAAGGGAGGGAGGGAGGAAGAAGGAAGGGAGGAAGGAGAAGAAAAAGGGGAAGGGAGGTGAGGTCTGAATGCCCTTGAGATTGCCACTGGGTAGAAATCCACAAGGTCACGTGCAACTTCTCACCCAGCGGGAGAGCAGCCAAGTCCGCGGGTCCGCCCTGAGTCGTTAACCTGCTGGGATCTGTTACTGCTGAGCCAGGCCCGGGCGCACCAGCGGAGGCTCACACTGCACACCTTTTTTGCTTTATTGCCAAATTTTAAATAACTTTTCTTCACACTTTGATAAACCAACTTTTTATTCCTCACCTGGGACCACGTTTGTGGCAGGCTCCTCTTCCTCGCTGCTCTGGGCGTTGGCGTGGCTGCTTTACCCGAGCCGGACCGACAGGGCGGGCAGAGGCGCTTTCCGTTCACTGCTCCTTGGTCTGTGTTGTCAAATGGTCGCTCCTGCCTTGGGCTGAAATAGGACGGACCCTGCGGCTTTTCCAGGCACACACGTAGATAATAAAAAGTTCAGCTCATTCCAATATCAGACTTCGAGCTCTCATTTCATTAAATTGTCTTGCTCCTCCCAGCTGAGTCCCGCCTCCGGCTTGAAACCCGGCAGTGGGGAGGGCCAGTGGGTGGGCCTGTCGTCTTCTCTCACCAGACTGGCCCCGGACTTACATCCGTTTGTAGCCCTTCTGAGGACAGGCACAGAGGGCCACAAGGGAAGTAGGAGCAGAAACCTTGTTCCCTGCCTGGCATGGTGGTAATCTGTTCATGGCCCCCCTACACGTGGCAGAGTACCAGAGTGACTGTCTCTGTGACTGAGGACCAGAGAGAATGACCTGTCCTCGTCCCCCCCTCTCTCGTCTAGTCCTGCAAAGTCCACCACGACAGCGGCCAGCCACAGGTGGCTGTTCAAATCGAATGATATGAAATAGAATTGAGAACTCAGCTCCCCCGCCGCACTGCCGCATCTCAGGTGCTGGCGCAGGGCCAGCTGCTGCCATCCCGGTGCCATCTTATTTGTTATGACGACACACCTGACTGCACGCCGAAGCCCGTGATGGCACATGCCAGAGTGCAGTGCTGTACACGAAAGTGCACTGCCACAACAGGTTAACAGGGCATTGTTTGTCTTCTCCTTCCAGAACCACACAAGCTTCCCTGTTGATTTTCACTGAGAGAGGAAGGGATGGGGGGAGGAGACCGTGCAGAGCACAGGGAAGCACAAGGAAAGGCAGCAGCCCAGCGGCAGGGCATGCAGCTGGCGCAGAACCTCCGCTATCACAGAAAGTTCTCGGGACAGCACTGCCCTAGGCCAGGGGCTCTCAACCGCAGCACTGCTGACATCTGGGGTGTCAGCTGTGGGGACTGCCCTGTGCGCTGCAGGAAGCTAAGCTGCGTCCTTGGTCTCCACCACTGGGTGCTGGTAGCACGCCCCCTTCCCCAGCTGTGACAGGCGGCAGTGTCTCAGACATTGCCAAATGTCCTCCGCTTGAGGCCCACAGCCCTGGATCCCCTCCTGAGTGATTCCATCAGTTCTCGTGGCTCCCAGCTTTGTGCCTCCTGCCTTGCTCTCCTGCCTGGGCCTCAGCCCCACATACCCAACAGACAGCTGCATTTATAAGTCCTGCAAACTGAAAATTCATGATCTCTATACATTTAGAAAGGAGATTTTTATTTCTCACAAACGGTTACAGCCTGCACGGTGGCCTCTGACAGGCTGGGGAGCATCGCCTCCAGCAGAGACCGTTAGCAGGCACTGCCAGGGAGGGGAAGACAGCCAGGAATTTATGCCGAGTGAGTGGCTGAGTATACATATTCAACAGGTTATAGGAGGAGCTACGAGCATTCATAAAGGAGCTACGAACATACCTATGCATGTGTGATGAGCAAACATGCATCCCAGTTCACTTTGGGGTGAAGACTTAACATTTAAATGTATTACAATCAGGCCCTACACATCAAAAGGTGTTTTCAGGACATAAAAAAAAGTCAGTGCAGGGCTTCTGTAAACTGGCCAGAACCAGTCCATTGTTGGTGGTCTCATATCAGGAGAAAATTACTGAAATCAGTTTCTTGTCCAGTCAAAGTTATAGTTATGGCTTATGGAACAAGGATCAATTAGTGTCCAGTGGTAGATGATCTGCAGTTGTTTCAATATTGCTTTATCTTGAAGCCATTGCTTGCTAGAGAAAAAGAAAAATCTTTCAGCAGTTAGAACCTAGTTTATTCTTTTAAGTGTAAGGGCGTGTGACTTAACCCTTGCCTGGCATGGCCTTGGGTCCTATTTATAGCTTGGTATCTTGTTGCCACAAAGAATCTGTTCTGTCAGTCTTGTGATCTTTAGTTTAACGTTAATTCTGGTCAGTTATTGTATCTAAACAGCAAAAGGGAGGGGGTGTAATGAGGCATGTCTGACCTCCTGTCTTGTCATGACCAGGAACTCGGTTTTTAAGGTTTCTCTGAGATCCCGAACCAAGAGGGGTCTGTTCTGTTGGTTGGAGGGCTTAGGATTTTATTTTTAGTTCCCAGTCCTCCCCATCTCACCACACATTTTATTTTGTTTATAAGAACATTTACTTGCTTACAGATATTTTTGTATTATTCATGATCATGCAGAAACATTTAATGTACCCATTTTTTATTTCTGTCATCCTCCTTTTACATTTTTTAAAATATTTAACATTTTAATTTAATTTTTAAATTGTGGTAGAATACACATAGTATAAACTTTATAATCATAACCATTTTTATGTTTACAGTCCAGTAGTCTTGAGTATGTTCACATTGCTCTGCAACCCATGTCTAGAAAACTAAACATCTTGCAAAACTGAAATTTTGAACCCATTAAGCACTAACTCCCCATTCTCCCCAATCCCTGGCAACCACCATTCTACTTTCTGTCTCTTTTATTTTGACCAGTCTAGAAACCTCATCTAAGTGGAATCATACAGTATCTGTCTGTTTGTGTCTGGCTTATTTCACTGAGAATATCTTCAAGGTTCATCCATGTTGTAGCATGTGCCAACATTTCTCTCCTTCTTAAGGTTAAATAATATTCCATTGTACATACACACATTTTGTTTATCCATTCATCTGTCCATTGGGTTGCTTCCACCTTTTGGATATTATGAATAATGCTGCTATGAATATGTGTGTGCAAATATCTGTCCACCTCCCTGCTTTCAATTCCTGTGGGTGTATACTCAGAAGTGACATTGTTGGATCACAAGGTAATTACATATTTCAATTTTTTTGAGGATCTCCCATACTGTTTACCACAGAGAGTGCATCATTTTACATTCCCTCCAGTGGTACAGAAGGACCCCAATTTCTCCACATCCTCTCCAACATTTGTTATTTTCTGTTTTGTTTTGTTGTTTTGTTTTTTTTTTTTTTTTGAAAGTAGCTGTCTTATTCTTTTCGGGCTGCTATAACAAAATACCATAAATTAACATGGTGTTTCCAGGATTTTTGATTGGAGTAAAGACTTTACAACAAAACTAACAATTGTCCACCATAAGCCAACAGAGGCAAAGACAAGCTGTCTGAGCCTGTTTGATACAACTGGAATCAGATGTCCAATGAGTCAGATGGGATACGTTTGTTTCCAAGAATCAGAATACTCTGTGGAGAGAGCAAAAGGAAGATGCTACCACACACCAAGAAGTCCAGACATGAGGGTTCCAGAGCTGGCAGACTCAGTAGGTTGACAAGTTCAAATCTCCACATTCAAGTCTCAGCTTTTCTTGGTTTCCCTCTAGCAGCTTCAGTTCCTGGCACCTGGCCCTGCCCTGTTGGTGAATTTCAGATCAGACACATCAGCTTACCAAAATGGTGGGTATATAAATAATGGAACTAGGATTTCGGACATATGCCACACCTAGCCTGAAAAAATTTAGAGGAACACCCTGATCTGCTCCCTGCCCATCCTGAGCATGGCCCGACTCTCTGTGAATCCAGCCTGTATCAGTAATGTCACCTACTCTCTCTGCAAAGAGGCAGGTGCCCTTGGGCCTATTCATAGATACAAGCTGTTGATTGACTGTGAATGCTCAACTGCACTGTAGGAACTTGTGAGGGTGTTGGGAGAAAAGATAAAAAGGATTCTTCCAACAAACAATTGTCCAGTATCTACTCTGGATAATTCTGTGCTTGATACTAGACGCACAAAGATGCAAAGGGTGCAACTAGAGCCTAGCTCAGAGATTACAGTCGACAAGTTCTAGCTTCCTCACTAGCCAGCTCCCCTCCCTGGATAGTCCAATGAGTAGAAATTCAGTAGAGTCCCAGCCCAAATGGTCCAGCCCAAGTTCCTACCTGGCCAAAGCCCCTGGGTGCTGCTGCCACACAGAACCGCATCCTCAGGTTTCTCTCGCGGTTGGCATGTGTTGGCTGCGGTCGGTCCTGCGAGTCTTGCCAAGAAGTAGTTGCAAAACATGAGGCATGTTTATCTTATCCCTTGGTAGAAAAAATCAATTCAGTGCTTGTTGGAGAAACCTCATCTTGTACAAGGTCAGGAGGTGGGCATTTCAGTCCATGTTTTTTTGTGTGTATCTTTTTATTTTCTCCATCAACACACATGCAGAGAGGTATCAGTGCCAGTGCCTTTAGCTGGCATCCTCTTACCATGTCTGGAGGAGTCTGTGGTTAGATGGAGGGAGCTGGGGAAGTTTGTGTTAGATAAAGAAAGAAGAAAGTTGCCTCAAGAGCCTTGTCCTCCTCCCAGAGCATCCTCTCCTTTCCCAAGTGCAGATGGGACATCTGTGTGGCACAGATACCTGCATCAGATCATACGAGTCAGGTCAAAACAAGAGGATACCCTTTCCTATCAGAGACTTAAAAATGTGTGCAAATCTCCCAGTAATATATGCAGACCTTGCAGCCATCTAGAACAAGTGTAATGTGGGGGATGTGTTGTGTTTTGTCTTACTTTCTATATACTATTAAGATTTAACCCTTAGCTGACATGATACTCCAGTGACAGAATTTGGTATTGTTATGACCTCGATCAGAAACCTGAGTGGCAAAGATTGGTCCAGGTGGCTCTCCCTGGAGGAGTGGGCTAGAGGAGGAAGGTGTGCTTCCTTCATTGGACCCACGACAACGTCCAATAATGCTAATGTCAACCCATGAGACACATTCAGAGGCATTTTTCTCACATCCCCAACAAAAGGACCAATGTTATAAAGTATTTAAAAGTCAACCTTCCTTACGTCTGTCTATTCTTGCAATGGGTGTTAAATTTACTGTTGTTCTCATGCAATCAGTCAGCATTAATTAACTGCTGAGTAGGTTCTCAGTGCAGTGTGTGAGAGATTAGGTGTTCAAAGCTGGTGCCCTTGAAGGGCTTGAAGGGCTTACAGAGACAGCACGTAAACATACAGGGGCTGGGTGTCAGGGAAGGTGTGTGGAGGCTGCGACTCCCCAGCCCAGTCTGGGCCAGATGGGGGAGGCTCCAGTGGGAAAGTAATGAACTGACTGAGCTGAGTAGAGTCTTTGGGACTTCACCACCCCAGGGCCTTTCTCCCTGTCCAAGACCTCTAAATAAATAAATCCCCACACCAAGAGAGGTCTCCGATTCAAATTACAGGGATCTGCCCAATTCGTGTTCACACACACACACACACACACACACACACACACACACACACACACGATACAAATTCTTGTTTATACAACATTATTCCTCAGAGTCCCCTTGGAGACTGTATAATTCTTGATAGTTCTTGCTGCCAAAGACTTTCCGACAATCATGTTAATGTGTTGCACTGAGCCCTCTGTCCTTCGTCCATTTCCTCTGGCAAGGATCACACCACCCCAGCAACATCCCTCCTGCTGCTCCACCCCTCACCGGCCACACCCCAGTTCCCTAGCAAGGGGGCTGCCCTCTTCATTAACACACGTCCCCTAAGTTTCACAGGTGTGACTCAGGGACTTTCAATGTGGGATCCTTGGAAGTCCAGAGGAACCTGCCACCCTGAGCCCCTTTCAATCCTCCAGGCAACTGTCAAGATTCCTACTGAGTCACAAACTTCTCAATATCCCCCAATTCCAAAGAGCCACCTTTCCCACCTCCCCTCTCAGATTCCTTTCACCAAACCCGCGTTTCCCCTAAGAGTCTCCAGGCAAACTCTCTTTCTTTCTGGACTCAGTAGATTGGTGTAAATCTGAGATCACCAATACCTTTTTCAGAAAATCTCCCAGCTGAACCTGGACCCCTGTTTTATGTCTTAGTTTGTTTTCTGTTGCTATAACAGAATACCACAGATTGGGTAATTTATAAAGAAATGTATTTCTTACAGTTCTGGAGGCTGAGAAGTCCAATCTCAAGGCACCAGCATCTGGCGAAGGCCTTCTTGCTGTGTCATAACATGGCAGAGGGCATCACATGGAGACAGGGAGACAGCACAAGAGCATGCCGGCTCAGGTATCTCTTCCTCTTCTTATAAAGCCACTAGTTCCACCATGGGGGCCCCACTCCATTGACCTTAACTAATCCTAATTACCTCCCAATGGCCCCACCTCCAAATACCATCAATATATGAATTTGGGAATTAAGTTTCCAACACATGATTTTGGGGCACACATTCAAACCACAGCCACCCCCAAAGGACTTTAGTCACTATTCAGTTAGAAGCCATTTGGTTGCAAGCAACAGAAAATTCATCTATCAGTGGCTTAAAACATAAGGACATTTTTTGTTTGTTAACAAAAGTCCCAGAGTGGGTACCCCAGGCTTAGCCCACTGGCTTCATCACGACATCAAGGACTCCATCCTGCAACTCCCTCCACTGCTCTCCTAGAACTTTCTCTACCGTTTTAAGTGGAATTAAAAAAAATAGTATCTTCTTTATTACTTAAAAGAAATGGTGAGAATAAGAAAATACTATTTGGAATTTGTTCAATAAAATTAGAGAAGATGATTGGCAGCATTGGTATACTTCTAACCTAATGTTCTTCTGATGGAGGATCAGTTTGCTTGCTCAGGCTAACTTGGATGTAACGGATCCTCTGGTGTGAACACAGTGTCTCCATATCTATGTGAGCCAAATGCATTCATATGCTAATAAAGATTGGCAGTTTCAATCTTCCCACTTTGCCAACCTCAGGGTGTTGGGCTATTCTCCAACTTGATCACAGAATCACTGTAGGAGCTCTAAGCAGGGGTCTTCGCATGACAGCATGCAAAGTTTGAGTGCCCTCCTTCCCCAGCATGTAGGGAAAATTGTTGTCCAAGCCAAAGTCTCTCTCACCCCAGCACATTGACTACCATCTCTAGTTCCATGTGAAGGACTCTTGCTAGGAGGAGCCAGTCACCCACACCCATTAGATCACCAGGAATGGAACAACTACCTGTGCCCAGGGCAAGTCAGGGGAAGCTTCAGAGAGGAGATACGATTCCATTGGTCTTGAAGGATGAGCAGGAATTCACTGCAGGTAAGGCCAAGGAACAAGGCACAAGGAACAAGGCACAAGGGCACCAAAGTGTGGAGCAGGGCAGAGGCCAAGAAGGCAGGAGGGGGAAGATTCTGATGGGCCTTGGCATGTTGTCTGAGTCCATTTGTGCTGCTATAACAAAATACCTGAAACTGGGTGATTTATAAAGAACAGGAATTTATTTCCTACAGTTCTGGAGGCTGGAAAATCCAAGCTCAAGGTGCAGGCTTCAGCAAGGGCCTTCTTGCTGCATCCTCACATGATAGAAGGCAGAAGGCAAGAGGGACTAACGCTGTGCCCTCCCATGGCAGGAGAGCAGAAGAGGGTGAATGCACTCTCACAAGCCCTTTTCCTTAGTAGATTTCATGCATTCATGGGGGTAGAGCTCTCAGGACCTAAACACCTCCCAAAAGGCACCACCTCCCAACACTGTTGCAATAAGGGTTTCTAAACACATGCATTTTTGGAAGGAAAAAAACTTTCAAACCATAGCATATGCCAAACTTGAACTTAAAATTACAAAGAATAGAAGCAATGAAATATTCTTGAGAAAGGAAGAGATAGCCAGACCCAGTTATGTTTTTTCTTGAATTTGACCAGAGCTGTATAGGTAAGAAGATTAAGATAAGTTATAAGTCTCCCAGGTTCCATGTGTACATGACCTTCTGAGATCTGAAGAGTTTGTAGCACTCTGTCCATGCTGTGTCCTGGCAAAGACTACCTTACTTACTACATCAGGGTCATTGTTGACAGGCTGAGTACAGTCTAAATTCCTTGTATCTGAGAAATCATTGGCCATCCTGGTTTAATTTAAAAACAAAACAAAGTGAAACAAAAAAACTCAACAGCAAAGCTATTAAACAACTTGACCAGCCAAGCTCAGATAGATCCATGCACAAAATCAGTAGACTCTAACCCTCTACAAATAACATGCGCCTTCTGAATATCGGCTTAAAGGAGAGCTGGTGAGAGGTTTGGGGGATGCTATTCGGGTAATAATATAAGAACAGGTAGGGGAATTGCCTGTCCCTGTAAGAATAGTTATAGAAACACAAATATCTACTGATATATGCAGTAAGTAATTTCACTTACCTTTATAGTCTCATGAAATTGTCTCATTTTTTAGATTTCAGGACTCTGTGTAGCTGCTCTTTAAAAAGTCTTATTATTTTAAAGTGGAAAGAATCAGCAGCTTTCCTGCCCCTGGAACTGTCTAGGTTGGAGGTGGCACACGGCTTCAGCACTCGCTCGAGAGCACCAGTGAACGGCGCAGAAACAATCTCAGAACCTCGCTGGGGTCGGAGGGCGAGCTGGGGTGCACTGGAGGTCCTACCAGGGGGAGGGAGCTCAGTGTCCTCATGGTCACCATTCTTGTCATCCCGGGCTGAAGCTGTACTCTGGATGGAGGCTTAATCATTACCCGATGAGTCAATGCAACTCCTCAAGTTCCAGATTTGACCTTGTCTTTGAAAAAAAAAACTCCCAGCTCTCCAAATTTGCTGACCTCATTCTAATGGATATTTCTTGAAAACTTGGACACTCATTTTGAATCAGCAGAAAAAAATAAGTCTGTGAAATAGTGAAACAATAAGCATCATCATCATCGTATGTCTGCCGTATGCTAGGCAGCAGGCCGGGCTCTTTACATAAGTTACCCCATTCCAGTTTTGCAACAATCCTGCGGCTGGAGTAGCATTGTCCCCAACTTACAGGTGAGAAAATGTACCACAAGAGCAGTTAAGTTGCTAAGTCACACAGCTAGAGAGCATCAGAGCCAGGATGTAGGTGAGTCCACCCATCTGCAAAGCCGGGCCCTTAAGTGTGTCAATACACTTCTTGAACGGGGCAGGAACAGCTGTTTGACTGGAGAAAACACATTTGAAAGAAATAAGGGTGGATGTCCTAACTCATACCTAAAGTACATCTCATGATGACATGGAATCTTCTAGAATGTAAGGCAGGGCCTGGTCTGCCTTGCTTCCAAGGTATCCCAGTTCCCAGGAGAGTGCCTGACATGGAATAAGTATGTTCTGCCGGGAACAAGGAACTCGTGGACTCAACCATCTTCCTGGCACGATTTACTTCCTTTAGCTGAGACTAAATTGTGGATGGAAAAAATCCAAACCCTGAAATATTTGAAAGAAGTTTATTCTGAGCCAAATTTGAGGACCATGACCCAGAGCCACTCTTAAGAAGCCTTGAGCGAGTGGACTCGCTGTGGCTGGGTTACAGTTCAGTTTTATACATTTTCAGAGAGACAGGGGTTGCAGGCAAAGTCACAAATCAATACATGAAAGACATACATTGATCTGGCCCAAAAAAGGTGGGACATCTCGAAGCGGGGGGGGGCTTACAGGTTATAGGTGGGTGTAAACATTCTTTGGCTGGTAATTGGCTGAGAGAGTTAGACTTTATCTAGAAGACCAGAAAGGATATGCTTATTTTAAAATAAGGGTGTGAGCACTCTGCGAGGTCCAGACAGGAGGACGTTTTAAATTTACGATAGGCACCTGCTAGGATGCTTTAAGATGCTTTAAATTTATGAATAGGCATCTGCTAGGATGCTTGAGTTAAGATATTTTAAATTTATGATAGGCATCTGCTAGGATGCTTGAGTTAAGACAGGGGCTTCTTATCTTTTAGGTGATGTTAATGCCATACCAGAATCAGGTTGGGAAGTAAACCACCACTTCATTTGGTTAACAAAAGCCACTTAGTGGGAATTTACTATTTGCAAGCCTGACCCAGCTGGCCTCCTTAGGAAGGAGTTTTTAGCAAAAGAAAAAGATCAGAGTTCAGTCCTCAATATTAAAGGATAATGTGGCATTTGGCCACTTTTATCCTTTGTCAGCTTTTGATGCAATTACCAGAAACTGTGTAGCCCAAGTTCCACAGAGAATTTTCTGGCCTAAAAGCAAAACAACAGCAAAACAACGGTGTAGCTTAATCCCGCCAGAGCCGTCAGAACAGACCCTACTCACCTCCCTTTGAAAATGTACGTTGCACAACAAACTTAGAACAGACACTAACCGCCTCCAATGGAGGTTTCACACACTAAGCAACGAGGAAGTCAGAGCCCCTAGTGTCTTTCCCTGGCAAGTTATATCACAAATCAGGAGTGGTCAGAAGACAGAGGGCAGCTCAACCTGTTTTGATTGTTATCTGGTTTAACAGCTGCAATCAACAAAACTTAGGCAAGTCAGCAAACATTCCCATTGCAGATATCAGCGTCTCCACCCCAGGGCACTGGGGCAAAGGGTGAGGTGGGGGAGGGGTGGAGTGGGGAGGACCCGTGGTGGCAGGGAGGGTACCTGTTAGGGGTGCACGGATGGACGCAAGGAGGGGAAGAGATCGGCCATGCAGACGCAGTGTCCTGCTAGAATCAGTATCATCTCACCCAAGAAACTCTTGAGCACAATTTCATCCTTTTAAGCCCAAATCCCAACCCCAGGCCCTTGTCCCTTTATTTTCCCCAATCAGATAAAACACTGGCTTGGAATGGGACTCGGGGCGGGGTGGCGGGATGTAGTTGCGAGAGCAGGGCTTAGAAAGGACGGTCACTCACTCCAGGCCAGGCCCTGCAGTGCGTGCTCCTCTACTCGCTCTCTGGGAGCCGCAGGGAGGGTGTGAAGTCCCAGCTCCCCGTGTGCTCACGCTGAGGTTGGTGTTTCCTCTATAAAATGGAGTTGTTTTGAGAACTAACAGAGAATGGAGGGAGAAGTAGGAGGGAGGCAGGAAGCTGCTGGCCCAGGTGGGCTTGGACCGTGCCTCCTGGTGACCGCAGGTGCCTGGCTGGAGGGGCGGGGGAGAGGAGCGGCCTCAGGCAGCTGTGGGCCTGGTGATCCCAAGCTGCCGGTGCTGCGGATCCCAGAGAGCTGCCGAACCAGGAGAAAGGCTCGTTCGGCTCAGCATAAAATGTCAGTAAGTCACTGCCACTGACGAAGCGTGCTTATCAGCTCTGGCGCACACACACTTACTACTGAATGTGGATTGAATTCACCA